ATATTTTTCTATTATCTCAAGCAAAGGTACTTTAAAACATTTTTTCTAGACTGTGCTTTACAGGCGGGCCTCTGGGACAGGACTACCATACTTAAATCTTTGACTATTAGTGACTAACATGTTTTCTTAATCTTTGACTATAAGCTATTGACAACCAAAGTAATTGAAACATTTAGTGAAAGCCTAGACCTACATCTCTAGACTGTGTGATCTAATACCAAAACATGATTACTGTCAACTTCTGGTTTTACCTGCATGGAAGGCTGGCGGATGTCCCAGGCCTATCAGTGTCATGTGATTGGTTCGGGGATGGGCATCTGACCCAATTCAAGCCAATGAGAGCTGATCTTGGGAATTTTGCTGAAACAGTTGGGCAAAAAACACTTTTTACTGGAGTTTCTAAACTGGGACTGTGTCAACTTGCAGCTGCTAGGGGCCATCTGCCACCACATGGGACAGCCTGCCCCAGAGGGAAGCCAAACACAGGAAATCAGAGCTAAGAGACACGCAGAGAGATTTTTAAGATATCATTTGACTCCCTGGATTCAGACATGCCTGAACTCAGCCTACTCCAGGATTTTTCAGTCATCTGAACCAATTAAAGTCGGCTTTCTGTCACTTGCAACAAGAGTCCTAAGCAATATACTTACTAAGGGCCAGGTACAATGATGGCCAGTGGGGTTATAAGATGTGAGCCTGATCCTAAAAGAGGTTATTTTCTCTCTTTTCTGACAATAGCTCTATTGAGCTATAATTTACATACAATAACATCCATTCTTTTAAAGTACACGATTCTATGGTTTTTAATATACTCACAGAATTGTGCAACCATCACCATGATCACTATCTTGCATTGAAAATGACAAGCAGGTGCTTGCTCTATTCTACCCTACATACCAGCTCCTCTCTTGAGCCCAGGGCTAGGTTTTACTCCTTTTTGCAGCACCAGCAACTGCAGTAGGTACTCAGTTAATGCCTGCTGGGCTGTACTCAGACCTCCTTGAAAAGCTTAGCCTCCATCCAACATTTGTTTGGGTCCTTTCTAAAGCACAATGAATGAGAGAACAGATAGTTGGCAAAGCCACTCAAAGAAAGGATGTGATCACCAATCACTAGATTTTCTCTGGATTTTCTAAGCTGGATCCCTGTATCAGGGGAGACTTCCAGAGAGGTGCACACCTGGAATGTGCTCCTGAACTTTTCCTAAATTTATTACAGAATAATTTAAAATAGTAACAAGTGGAAAAACATAAATCCAACAAGAAGGGAATGATTTAATTCTTGTGTACCCACAGGATAGAACAGTATACCACCACTAAAAATCATTTTTTAAAAGAGGATTTGAGGACATGAAGAAAGACACATGATATAATGTTAACTGAATAAAACAAAATATAAAAGGCACAAGTACATAAAATAGCAAATACCAGCAACTGGAAGGGGATAATGCTAATTACTAGATTTAGTTACTTTTGTATAGGTGAATTATGGGAAATTATTATTTGTCTTCATCCTTCTTTATCATTATCCATTTTCTAAAATGAGCATTAATCAAATCAGAAAGGCCAATATTTTTTAAAAACTCATTTCTTGGTTATTTATTTTATTAATGTGGCTACCAAAGAATGAGAAACAACCACATGAAGAACATTTCTAAATCTCCTGCAAAAGTTTCAGAAAAAAGACATTGTCCCTCAGAGTCTTCTAATCAAACATGTAAAAAATGTAATCTACCATGTTTACCTTTTTACCTTGACTGCCAGGAAGCTCAAAGTTAAAATGTAATACTAAAAAATGCAATAAGCATCCTAGCCAAGGTTTCTTGGTACAGCAATTTCCATGCTTCTAACGGGTTTCTGATGCTTCCTTTTACCTGTATTTTCAGTTGTCTTGCTTATGTTTTTATATATTCAAATCTTCCTTGAGATACATAAAGAAGTATTTGCTAAAGTGATTTGAGGTACACCAGAGAAAAGAGGTCATGACTAGCAGATGCTCTGTTGAGATGTTTCATTTTCACAAACACACGTCACTGAGTGGGGCTTTAAAAGTTCTATCTCTATTCTAATTACAGTAGAGGGTCAACCATGGATAAATGCATGTAGGATGCTCCTTTACTGAGACAAGCTGCCCCAGTGATCAGATTAACCCATTCCTTGCTAAATCTCCATCTCTTTGAAGGCTATGTGGATAAAGGTCCATACTGGCTGCTCACAGTCTCTGGCCATTGACTGATAGCAAATGTCAGCAAAGCCAGCCAAAATCAGTTCACCACATCCATCTTGTATTCAAGTCTACGGACAACAAGTGACACAGCCAGCAAGTGATTAGGGACTACACACAATCCACAAAGACAGCCCATCTGAATAAAACAGGCCCCGGACACTCTAACTGTAGATTTTGCTGCAATTACCCAGACTGATCCTTCCTTTACTTTGGCTCAGAGAGAAAGTACCTCTACTCTAAAGATGGGTCACTTAAAAAAAAAAAAATAGGTATTATATCACCTGGGCATTCTATTCTCCCAAACATGACATCTCATGGCAGGAGATAACATATTATTTGACTATAAGCGAGAATTCTTTTTTTTCCCTGGTGATGACCTCACTGACTCTGTGAGATTTCAAAAGCAAGAAAAACAAATAAGCAGTCTTAATATTTTAGTTGTGACCATTTTATCACACCTAAAGTCTTAGCGTCTTACTTGTGAATCCACGCCAGAAGAAAATGGGAGAAAGGAAGCAGGAAACATTTATTTAGTGCTGACAGCAGGCCAGACAGAGCACTGGCCACTGAGCCTTCCAGCTCAAGTCATTTTCCACTCTGGGCTGTTATCTCCCGGAAGCGTCACACTTCACCATCCTGCAGAGTACATATAATACTCTCATTTTTTCATATGTGAAAATCTAGGTTTAGAGAGAGTAAATACCTTGTTCAAGGTCACCCAGGGGGAAGATAACCTGTTTCTGACTAGAACCCAGGTCCAACCCACCCCAAAGCCTATGCTCTGTGCCCCTTCACATAGTTAGAGATGCATCCTGTTCGCATGAGGCCGGTGCTACCCTCTGTCCTCCTTCCCAATGCTTCCTACCTATTCCCAGGATCCGAAGAGCATTCTGACTACCTCATCCTCTTGACTCTGGGCCCTCTCACTCAGAGAGTCATCAAGACACACTTGAAAAATAAAATTAAAAGCTTCAACCCACGCCCTGAAACCAAGCACCCATCCCTTTACTGCCACAAACAAGCTCATATGAAATCTCTTCCAGGGAAGCTTTCTGAAGGGATAAATTGATGATGGAAACATTATGCAGCTGACAATATTTGATGATGATGCAAGAAGGACTGCCCCATCTACAAATGTTTTTGTCTCCAAAGAACTGGTTCTCCTGTGTCCCTTCCAAAAGAATATGTGCAGAAGCAACAGTGCAGAGAAGACATGCCTCTATGTAAGTGCATCGTGCTCTCCATTTACGTGTGTAGGACAAGAACCCCCAGAGAACTTGAAGTGTTCGGACCAATATGAGGGCGACAGGAATGTCATTCAAGAAATGATTCCACACCCGGGTTAGCTCTGCACAGCCCCGAGTTTGCATCCTCCTGGGGCAGAAGAAGCCTCTAGGCTTGCAGCAGCCTTCGCACACCTCCACCGTCACCCGTTCCTTCACCTTTTATTTACAGCGCAGAGCAGGCTGGTTCATCCGTGAGGGGGGTGAGGAGGGAGGCATAAGATGCAATCCAGATTTCTGCTCTTTCTCCAGGGACCAAAATAGGGCCAGAGAAGGAAGCAGAGCCCAGGCTGCACGATCAGCGCAGCAGCGCGACCCTCCTCTGCGGAAGGGTCTGCGCCTGGGCTCTAGCAGAAGCGCCGGGAGAGCCCCGGGCAGCCGGGGTCAAGCTCCGCGCCTCGGCCAGGGTGGCGCGGTGGAAGAGGCGCCAACCGAGCTTACTGCACAGGAAATCACTGCCCCCTTCAGGCCGCATCTCAGATTCTGCGGCGGGAGAGTAGGGGCTTCCTTAGACCGAAAAACTCGCAAACCCGACCTCGCGCGGCCGGCGATCCTTCCTCCAAGCCCGCTCTGCGCACTTGCTCAGACCCTGAGCTGCAGTGAAGGTCCGCACCGGGGCTTCAGCCGGAACCCAAGCCGAGGGTGTGAGGAGGGGGCTTGAGACGAGAAGCTCTAGGCTCTTTGGCACCCCTCGGAGAAGGAGGCCGGGAGGGCAAGACCGCTGCTGTGCTCCAAGTCCGTGCTTTAAGTCTAAGCCCAGAGAAATTGCGCCTGCTGCCGCCGGGTCAACAGCCGCGCAGCTGGACATCCCCCGCGCATCCGGGGCAAGACCTGCTCAGGGCACTCTCTGCACAACTAACCCGAGGGGCGGTCTCCTCATAAAACTGCGCCGGCCACATCCAGGCGGCAGCGCTGCAGAGCGGCGGCCCCACACCTGCCCGCGCGGTGCGGACCCTAGCAGCTGGCGCTCACCATGCGCCCAGTCCTGCTGCGCGCGCTGGCCCCTCGGGTCCCGGAGCCCTCCGGACCTCAGAGCGCGGCTCCGCTCTCCTAGGGGCCCGCGAGCAGGCCCGTGGCTCCCTAGCCCCAGGTGGCCCAGTTTGCAGTCAATGCATCAGTTCCTCCCACCTGGCACTCCACATCCCCACTAGCGGGACCTGGGCAGGGACAACCAATTCAGGCCTTTTGGAGGTCCAGCTCCCACCTTCTCCACTCCTCTCTGGTTAAAGGAGACCCTAGCCTTCTACCCTACACCTCACACACATACATACACACATACAATCCCAGAGGAATGAGATGCTGCTCAGCAAATCTTGGTAACAGCTGTGCCAGCCAAGCCCGGTGGGATCCCGGGGGTGAGCGATGCTCTCGGCAGGCACGGACAGGTCAATCAGGGCTCTGCCCAAGAACCAAAGCTTGCTTCTGACCAACACTCTCCCCGCCACCATTGCCCACTACAACCCCGACGGCGCGTGCCAGCCGGACACTCACCTCGGTGTCGTAGAGCCGCAGGTCGAGGAAGTAGGGGCGCAGGAGTGACTCGTTTCGGATCTGCTCGATGGCCAGTTCCACTGCGGGAAGTACGCCGCGCCCGATGCTGCCCTTGGCCACCTCCTTGGTGAGCGGCATGAGGCCCATGATGGAGAGCGGCGGGCTGCTGGGCGGCGGCCGGGGGGCGCCCCGCGCCCAGCCCCAGGCCCCGGGCGCCAGCGGTAGCATCAGTGGCAGCAGCAGTAGCAGCAGCAGGCGCGCGGGCGGTGGCGGTGGCGGCGGCGGCGGCGGCCCGGGCTGTCCGAAGCTCCGCGGGGAAGCCATGCCGCGCCGCGGGCTGCGGGCGCCGGCTCACTCGGCCCGCATGGCCTGGCCCGGCCCGCCGCCCCGCGCCAAGCTCTCCCCGCGGCGCCCGCGCAATGGCGCCGGCCCCCGCTCCGGCTCGGGCTCCGGCTCGGCTCAGAACGGCCGCGGCGGCAGCGGCGGCGCCCGTGACGGATCAATCACGCTGGGAAGGGGTGGGAGCGAGCGGAGTGCGGGAGGCGGGGAGCGAGCGAGCGAACGCGGAGAGGGGGGCCGGCGTCTCAGCGCGCGCCTCTCTCCCGCACGGCCACCCGAACCCGGCCGCCTCCGCCCGCCCCCGTGCGCGCTCTGAGCCGCTCTCCCGCCGGGAGCCGCTCGGCGGCAGCTCCTGGAGCCCGGCCGGGGGAGGGCGGGCGGCAGGAAACGCGGGAGGCGAAGGCGAGGCTGCTCAGCGGCGGCTCGGGCCGCCTCGGGGGACGGGGACGGGCCGTGCGCGCCGGGGGAGAGGGAGGCGCCGGCGCTGCGGCGGCCGCGGGGAGGGGCGCCCTCCCAGCACACGCACACACGCGCCCCCGACCCTCCGCCGCGCGGGTTGCCGCTGCCCGCCCGGGACCCGAGCGCCCGGGGACAGAGATGGGGAACGAGGACTAGCTGTCGCCGCTTTCCCGAGCGCTTCCTGCAGCACCTGCACGGTGGTTTGGGACTGCTTCTCGGAGGTCTGGCTGGGAAGGTCTGGGCGGCGAGTGCGCCACGGAGGCGTCTTAGAGGCACCTGCAGCTATGGTCTCCTGTTCTGCACGAGTGCCCGAGGTGGGGGGCTGGGGCTGACCCAGCCCCAAGGGGCAGCCGAAGATGCAGCCGGCTCTGGGACACTCCTTGGTGCTCGGGTGTCCCGCCGGCCTTTAGGGCCTTGGGTGAGGGGCCTCCTCTTCCCTAGCAGAGAAGCCGCCCTTTGCCAAACCCAGACAAGACTGGAGTCCTCACCTTACGTGTGCTACCGCCCCCTCCAGGCATTTGACCTCCCCGCGTCCCCACTCCCGAAGGGCTCCGCCCTAAAATTCTCCCCGGGTGGGAGCACTGTCCTCAGGCCCGAGCGGGTCGGGGTCGGCGCTCCGCAAGACTTAGCCCTCTCTCTCCCAGGGCACACTGGCAGAACGGACTAACCTTAAGCAACGCAGTCTTGTGATCTGACCTAGGGCCTTGATCCCTGTGTGTCTCTTTATACTTGAAGAATAGAAATCGTGTTCATTAAAATATAAAATCCCAAGGAGTGATGCATCAGGGGGGACACAGTAGGTCATCAAGTCAGAAAACATCCTTGATCCTGAACCGAACATTATGGGTGAAACTGACGACCTTGTAACAAGGTTGGGTGTTTAACCTTCACAGAACACTTACTATATGCCTTACAATGCAATCCTCACAACAGCCCTCTGAGTTAAATACTGTTTATCATCCTCACTTTACAGGTGAATGCACTGAGGTTTCAGTTTGTCAAAGTATGCAGGGCTACCCAGGGAGGACTGGAACCCAGAGCCAACAGGAGCTCTCTACATAGTGCAGTAGGAAAGAGCACGGGAAACAGCTTTCCCAGCAGGCAGGAGGGACGCTGCCCTGACTTTGTATTGCTCTGGACCTCATTTCCCTCAGGCATGTGCTGAAGGAGGTGGACCAAACTCTGTCCACAAACGTCCTCTTCTGGAATGAGGCAGGCGGGAACAGCCCTGAATTACAGGCTAGGAAGCATGAAGGAGAAGGGAGGCTGAGCCCAACTCCTGGAGAGTACCTTGGACAGCTCAGGGGAATCCTGGCCAACTTCTCCCCGCCTTAATTCCTCTTTCTAGGCTTCTGCTAACACCATGTCCCTGGCTAAGTAGAGCGTTTTCTTCTCCCCAAGCTGGAAGTCTTGCCTGGCAGAGCTCACCTGAGCATCTCCACCAAAAAAATGGGCCACAGGACAATGTAATTCCCAGATGCTCACTCAGCTGGTGTCTCACTTGACATCACAGATAGCCTCTAGTCATAGCTTCTGGCATCTGCCATTCCTCAACCTCTCAGCTCAGGTTTCTGAGTGAGCATTTTCACTCCCCCCCCCCCCCCTTAATCATCTGTGTTTCCCTTGTAAGCTGTGCCAATAAGGAGTATCCACAGACACCTACATCTGGGAATAAGTTGAAAGCTGGGATAACTGCTTGACATTTACTAAGCGGTTGAAGGCCCTGGCTGGCACCCTGCCTTTCATGCCCTCTGTCTCCACGTATGCGGTGTACTGGCCCTGAGACACATGGCCTGGGACCAGCCCTGATCTGAGGAGGACCAGACTCATTTCCATCAGCCCGGCTCAGGCCGAGCTCTGATCTCATGCCCCATTTCTGATGTTGGGGCATCCCTCTGGTTCCGGATCCTACCCTGGACTGTGTTCCAGTTTGAGTAACTGGATCCTTGGCGTGCTTCCTGGTTCTGAGTTCCTGCCTTGGTCACTGGCCTCAAGTCCACGTTCCTCTAGAACTAGAGTCCAGCCTTTTGCTTTATGATAATCACTCGTTCCTGCAACCAATGTTTTGCAGTGTCTGCTATGTGCTGGGCAGTGTCCTAGGAGCTGAGGATACAGGGATAAATAAGCCCAACTAAAACCCTGTTCTCCTAAAACTCAAATTCTAGTGGAAGAGAGACAATAAACAGAACTAAGAAGATTATTTTAGTATGTCAGTTTATGAAAAGTGTTATGAACAACAATAAAGCAGGAAAGAGGATTGAGACGGACAGGGTAGAGCCACAGTTTGAAGGACACACTGAGGTGACTTTTCAGCAAAGGCCAAAAGGAGGTAAGCAAAACATGCAAATGATATTCCAGATAGAGGGACAGCAAGGGTAGGGGCTCTGAGACAGCAGTGTGCCTGGCATGTTCAAGGAATAGTCAGGAAGCAGTTGGCTGGAGTGGAGTGAGCAAGGGGAATACAAGAGCACCCGGGGTCAGAGGCAGAAGGGACCAGATAGGACCTAGGCATTGTCAGGACTGAGGCTTGCACTTGATGAAGTGGAAACTACTGGAGGGTGACATGAATAGAGCAGTGACATGATCTGAAATATTTTAACAGGATCACTCTGGCTGCCAAGTGAGGAATCATTGGTATGGGGGGAGGGTACAAGCAGGGAAACCGATTAGGGGGTTATTATAAGCTAGGTATGATGGCAAGAATTAGGTGCAGGCAGAGGAGGTGGTGAGAAATGGCTAGGTTAATCATTGTTCTTCATAGTAGTAGGAATAAAATGCATTGGCAGATGCCAAGTCTCAGGGCTGTGGTAAACAGTGATCTTTATGAGCTCATCTACCTTGTGAGAGATGTAGTAGGGACTTTAGAAAGCAACATGGTCAGGGGTGCACCCCCAGAAAATGATATAACTGCAGGTCTGTATGGCTTCAATTCTTATCTTCTAAAACCCTGACTCATTAGCAATCCTTTCTCATGTCCTCTCCCTACACGCGAGGACCAGAAGCCGGTCTCCAACCCACAGTTCAGAGGTTGGGGCTGAGAAATTATGCTTTTACTCTTTCTGGGGATTTTGGGTCACCATGGTCCACCGACTGCCTCTCAGAAGGTCAGCCCATCCCTTTGAGCAGGATCCCAGCAGTGAGAGGCTGAACAGGCCTTCCCCTGCTGTCTGTCATTCCATACTGGGCTGGACACCCCTTGCCACCCCAGCGCCCGCTGCTCAGATCAGCCCGTCCAAAGCTGCCTCCTCTCGGGACTGGGATCCGTTTCCAACATCTTGGTCCTCGTCTGTCACCCATGGCTGCCTATCCTCTAACCCCTAGTTATAAAAAAAATCACAAGCTATCTTTGCAAACATTCCCCATGTATTTCTTATTCATGTTTACGTTGAAATATTTCTTTCAACTAAGTAGTTTCCCTGGATTTTTAAAAGTACGTTGTTTGTGTTCATTTCTTTTTTTTTGTAATTGATATGTTAAGAATGATGGCTCCAAAAAAGATCAGTTGAATGAATCTAAGTTGCTTTCCCTTTTCACAAGACATGTTTTTTAAACCGTAAAATTGAGTTTCAGGCATCCAATGTGGTCTGGTGACACAGTTCGAGTAATAATAATAGCTACCATTTATTAAACACCTACCTCCTCTGCGCCACACACTTTGGTATGCATCACCTTACTCTTCATGACTACCTGTAAAATAGGTGTTAGAATCCCAGTTTTGCAAATTATGAGACTGAAGTCCAGATGGATTAAATGATGTGCCTAATGACACTCAGCTTACGAGACTGAGGTCCAGATGGATGAAATGATGTGCCTAATGACACTCGGCAGAGACAATGACAGGGCCCAAACTCAGTCTGTCTGACCCCACACTCCTGAATATGCCTCTCCTTGAAGGTGCCCTTATGTGACTAGGGAGGAAACAGTTTAAAGAAATAAAGAATGTCGCCAAGGGTCAATACCAGAGAGAGGTCACGACCTGGCCAGGGCTCCCCACCAACTTAGAGATGAAGCTGGCTTTCCTTCTGGTTATCAGGCCAGTGTCTGGCTTGGAGAGAGTCTGTGACTAAACCCTTCAGGAGCCAAGCCTGGGGTGGACCAGCGGAGCCTGGGGCCTTCTCTTCCACCCCTGCTCCTCAGGCAGTTTGAGAACAGGGGAAGATGGTTCCACGTCGGCTGGACAGTCCTAAGTGTACCTGGGCAGGAAATTTAGCTCATAACTGAGTGGTCTCCAGAAGGATACAGACTGGCAAAGGGACCCAAAGCCCCTCTCATGTAGAGGTTTCAGATCCTTTACAAAGGAGATCGTGGATGAATAAGAGTCACAGTTTAGGAATAGAGCCCTAGACAGGGAGGTGTCCTGTCAAGTCTCTGGTCCAAAACCTCACCAAAACTGAGGGGCAGTGGTGAGTTTGGGAGTGAGGCAAAGCTGGGTTCAAATACTGGCTTACCAATTATTAGTGCTGCAACTTTGGGTGAGTCACTTACCCTCCTGAGCTTGTTTCCTCGTTTGTAAAGTGGACATAAATGATTCCTCTTTCACAATAACAAGGTTATGGTGAGGATTAATTAATAACAGCAGCTAATATGTATAGAGGACTCATGTGCTAGGCACTGTTCAAGTGCATATAACTAAATCCCTTATTAAATAAGATGATGCATAGAAAGTACTTCGTATAGTACTAGGCACTTATTGGGCATGCAGC